AAGAGAAGGAAGAAAGTAGTTTCATTATCGGCTGTGTCACAAAGTCCTTCAACCACTCTGACGTGGCTTAAAGTCAGATATTTACAGTATTTTTATATTTGGCCACATATTGTATGTTTTTGAGGAAGCTATTTTGAGCCAGTAATCCTTGCCTCAAAATCGTGTACGGTTTTGATAAAAGGGTTTCTGGGAAGTATAATTCTTATATAATGTTAAAACTTTTCTCAAAAATGTTCTGCATCAAGAAAAAGTGCTGCTAAATATATTATATATATATATATATATATATATATATATATATATATATATATATATATATATATATATATATATATATATATACATATATATATATGTTGCATGTGTAATTTTAAAAAGCAAATCAATGAAATTATGCAGTGTTTGTTGAACAGTTTGGTATTTAAAGAAATCTGAACTTTTTTTGTAGTTGTGGCTTTAGAGAGCTCACTGAGCCTGGGAAAAGCAATAACCCTTGATCTTTTTCATATCTTGTAATTTTGCGAAACAAAACATCGTTACATTTTATGGGGATTTCATGGAATGCAAAGCAGTGCATAATTGTGAAGAGGAAGGAAAATAAAACCCTGAAAAGCATGGTAAGCATTCCAATCCTATTTCTTTGTAGAACTCATTTTTGCTGTAATAATAATAATTACAAATTCGGATTGCATGGAGAGTGTTTCTCGATAAGACGCAGCTCTGGACTTTAACTGAGCCATTCTAATACATGGAAATGTTCTGATGTCAACCAGTTTTATCTTTGCAGCTCTGGCTGTATGTGTGGAGTCATTATCCTGCTAAAACGTGAACACGTACCCCAGACTCAAGTTTTGTGCAGCGTAGCTCATGCCTTCTTCCAGGATTGCCTCATCTTTAGAAAAGTTTTCCCATAACATGCACGTAAGCCAGAAAGTTAAGTTTTGTTTCATTTGATCTCTTCTCCTTCTTCCACCTGTTTGTTGAGTTTCTGGATAACTACAAAAGGACTTTACTTAAATGGTTTTCTTCATGCCACTCTTTCATAAACAACTGACAGTTGTCCGGTTCACACACTGCCCCACTTGAGCTTCGAATCATACTGTGGTACTCTTGGTTTCAAGACCACAGCTGCCATACATATTTTTAACCACAATTTGCTGTGAATCTCCTTGCTGCACTGAAATGCAACCAAGTTTTTAACTTCGAAAAGTTGGAGTAGCAACAAGATTCTTATGATCACAGCCTTAGTTTTTGCCTTAGTTTGATTTTAGCCTTTGTCTTGCCTTCCACGAAGTTCTTGTCTCGACTCTGTCTCAAGACAAGCAGGTGTGAATGTCTTCTTACATCTCCAAACTTCTCCACAGCTTGGTGTGTTCCATCATGTTCTCTGGCCTCTGAAGGTGATAACTTATTTAGGGGTATCAGATTTGTTTAGGGCTGAATACAAATGCAGCCACACTTTTCAGATTTTCCAGTTGTGAAGATATTTAAAGACTTTTCTAGCACACCACAGTTATGCGTTACTTTGTGTTGGTCTAACACCTAAAATACTATTTGGAGGTGTAACGTGACAAAATGTGAGAAATATGCAAGACACTGTATTACCTTCATGAATATGCAATGCGGTAATAATGTTCCCAGCAGACGGTTGCATTCCCTGTGTTTATATTATTTTATTTTTGGTTTTTATCCATGCTCGGTTTTAAGCCACAGTCTTGTCAGCAAACAAACATCTACCGCGTTAAGCGGCGAGCGATGATTCAGTCTGTATCTACATCGACATCGACATCTACATCTTGTGTCTAGATATGAATATGCTTAATCTCGTCAAACTGCCTCAACAAAGCGTCAGGACAACTGTGCTATCTTTAATCAGAACAAAGATGCGTCTCTTCTCCTCGCGCAGATGAAGTCAGCGGGGGCCTGATGAGTGAAAACACGCAGCATATTGAAATAGATTTATTCAAACTGATAAGCATCTCATCCCATCAGCTCCATACCAAGTGTGTCAAACCGAGCACAAGTCTTTTCAAAGCCGCTGAGGATGTATCGAACAAAAGGAGACAAAAGTGTCCAAATGAGATCTGGATCATTCCTGGAGCAGAGGGATCAATAACCGCCAGACTAAGCCCCTGCTCATCCATCTGATTCATATCTTTCACCACTCGCCCTCCCTTACCAGCGCTCCCCCCTGCTTTTTTTTTTTTTTTTGTTGAAGAAATAAGAAGTCGCAGATCATGTGCCGGCTTGCACCTGGAACAAACTCTGTCAATTTAGATCAAAGTTTTCATAAAGTGACAGAATCCTTACTGACAGAATAATATTCGTCAATATGATTACCTTACAGGTTGCTACATATGTAAAGATGTTCAGTATATCCGTGAAAATTACTCTAATAAAGAAATAAAACCAGAGAATACTAGTTTAAACATGTTGCATATGTTTATAATTAATAATAATACTGGATCAATATAGTCTTACGTCACGTTTTTACCAAACATTTCATGCAAACAAATTTCTGTCAATATTTGCTTAAATTTTGTGCTGGATAACAGAATCATATCAGACACCTGACACGCTGGTTTCTGCTGTTGTTGCTTCTCAACGACCTTCACCCAATGTTGGCGCTTTTGACATCGATGCCTGACTGCACGTAAAGTGTCAATTTAGGTTTTTGTAAGAACTGAAACTTCCTGTGCGGAAAAATAAAAAAAGAAAGTTTTTCTGGATTAAAAATGCTGAGCATACAAAAAAAATGTAAGCTATTCACAAACATCTGAAATCTCCATTCAAAACACATTTTTTTCTCTCTTTTTGAAATGGAACGTTTTACTGTTTTGCCGCCTCTGCAGTTTTCTTTTGCAGACATAGAATGAAACATTCCCGTAGTAGTTAAAGAGAATACAGTCATCATGTAAATACACATTCTTTAGGCTGAAACAAGAAAGCAAATCTTGTTATGTATCTGCAATCTCATTCTTTTGATCCCCACCCAAATCTCATTAGCATACAACCACGGGCAAAACCAGAGAATCCCTTTGAATTTGTAGCAGGAGCACAAAGACGAAAAAGCTGCTATTGGCAGCTAACCACGCAAAACCATAATACATCGCAGTGTTTTAATTTTTCTGAGAAAAAAGTGAAAAAAAACAAACTATAATCATTACAGTTACTTACTGCTGAGAGGAAATTTACCAAATCACTCATCATTGAGAAAACAATGGGATCACTAAATGTTGAGGGAAAAAAGTGTTATGGAGACATTAAATGCGGAGAAAAATAAGTCTGGAGTTACTCAGCTTGGGTGAAAGAAAACAAATCAGTCAGTGTTAAGGGAATGAAATGTGGAATTAATGAATTTGAGGAAAACGTAATACAAACACTCAGTGTTTATAATGGAAACATGCTTTAGAAAACAGGATTCAAAAGTAGGGGAATTACTTAATGTTCAGAAAAACTACACATTAATTTCCATTTCTAATGCAAATATCTATAACTATGCATAATAGCCTGAATGACAGGAAACATGAGCCGTCAATTCCAAATAACTATAAACTTGTGTTTTTCTTGCAGTTAGACAGATTGATGTTTGTAATTAGCTCTTCATTGAAACTTTAATGCTTTAATCAGCAAAAGTCAGGAACACAAGTTTTTATACACTGAAAGAACTGATCTACACCACAAAGCAGTTTCTTCACCAGCTTCAGATTCTTGTTATATGAAATCTGCTGGAGGACAAGAGAGGAGCCTGCAGCTCCAGACTGCTGAAATTCAGAGTCTGTCAACAGACTAAGAGTCTCTCTGGAGAGGCAGCTTCATCATGTGGTGCAACGCCATTCTCTCCGGCAGTGAAGGAAAAGAAAGTGATCAAAACGTCTCAGCACTGTTGATTATTTCTTGATTTTACATTTGAACATAGGAAAAGAGTCTGTAGGTCAGTAACAGTCTCTCAGGCTGTGGGGCCTCCACAGATCCTACTTGTTTATCCTACAGGTCTAATAAATTTGCGCACAAAGCGAACACCTTACACCTGTTTTCAAATCATTTTTGAACTGTTTCTGAAAAGACACAAGGTCTGCAACGATGCTTAGTTAGGTGATATATGTCAAAGTAACATCCAACTCGGGAACCACAGTTTCTGAGTGAAACAAAGTCCAATACTCCACTTTAAAACTGTCTTGGAGACCAGCAACCTCCCACAACATCTGGAGGTTTGAAGATGCTCTGGCCGTATAAGTATCACAATTTAGCTTTTGTCAAACGTGCTTTAATCATTTCCAATTGTCCCTTCTAACATAACACGTTTTAAGAGAAAATGCTCACTTGTTGCAAGATATTTCTCATCTACTAACAGGTGCCACGATGAACGTGAATCCTAATTTTGTTTAATGAATAAATTAGCTTATCAGGGTGGTTAGAGATGGACGTTGTGTTTTATTGTCTGAAGTCCTGAATAACTCCAGAGATCTCGTCTTTTTGTCCAGAGTGAATTTCAGTTTCGCAGCTTGTGAGACTAACCTACATAGATTCTGTATCTCTTATGAAACACAGTGTAAGCTAAGTAAGTCATGCTGACCTCTATTCTGTCACACCCTCTTGTTGTGAGAACTGTTTTATTATGTAACTGATGCATGCAGAATGACACCACGCCAAAATATTAGAAAGTATACTGGCTAAAAAGGGGGGCGGAGGGGGGATTTAAAAAGGATTCCCAGTAAGATGGGCTGCTCCATCGTGCTATCCAGCGTCTCATCAAACAGATACTTAACAGGATTGTAATCCCAGACTTTGGTCACGTGAGTGCAAACTTGGCCAAATGGGAAGGCGAGTCTCTGTAGTACGCTTCCGCCATTACATTATTACAATGCCTTGTAGGCTGGACTATGGTTCGCGGAAAAAAGAAAAAAAAAAGAAAAAAGAAAAAGAAAAGCTTCAGCGCCTCACGTAAAACCCACACACATACACACACATACGCGTGCGCAGACACACACACACACACAGAGAGAGAGAGAGAGAGACACAGTGACACATTCAGACTGCGCGCACGCCCATCGAGCAGTATAATAACGCACTCTGACAGATAAACAATGAGGAAGGAGCCGCTGCGGTTGAGGAAATCATGCACATGTTGGAGGATTTAAATCGACATTCGCACGGTTTCTCGACAAAATACACGGATGATGCGCGCTTTGTGAGGGAGCGATCTGCAGCCTTTCAACATAATCTTTATGTCAGAATCGGCGCCAGACGAGGAGGGTGACTTTTGACTTGGAAGTGTACACATTTACACGCACGCACACAAAAAAAGCCCTATCTGACATTTTTTTTTCTGCAACGCTGGGGCTTTTGTGGCTTTGAGAGGACGTTTCGTAATGATATAAAACTGAAAGGAAGGAAGGATTTTTTTCAAACCTCCGTCTACAGCAGTCGCCTGCTTCTCGTTTTCCTGGTTGGTGGAGTGTCAGAATAGTTTTTTCTTTCTTCTTGTCTGAATGGTTTGACCCATGATTTTTGGGTGTTATTGCTGGGAACCCGCTTGACTTTGTCCGCCAGGAGCAACGCAGAACAAGGAGGAGAAGAGGGGGGGTGGATCTTTTTCTTTCTCTTTTCTTTTTTGTCTTTATTATTATTTTTTTATATATATACAGCTATCGGGTTCCTCGGATCGTTTGGTTTAGAAGCAACAGAGGGATTAAATATTCCTGCTCGCAGCGCCCTGTTTGTGCGAGCCAGACTGGCTTACATTGTGAGAGGAACGGTTGTGGCAAGAGAAAGAAGGGCTATAAATAGCGCATGCAATTCTCAAAAACTATCACAAGTGGTGCATCAGCTTGTGGAGCACACGGAATCAGATATCCTGCATAGCAATCGCCTTTTTTTTCGTATTGAGTAGATCTTTTTTTTTTTTTTTCTTTTTTCTTCCTTGCAGCGTTTCTATTTAAAGTTTCGACGCGTAGAATTTCTACATATCTGGGCTGTTTTCTGAGAAAGGAGGGGAAAAGGAGTGGTTTTCTCATGGATCGGGGCGATTTAATGATGAAACTACATGCGGAAAGACTGATTTGGAGACAAGCCGATCTTCCTCTGCGCGTGGATTGAAATGGATCTATTATATGACAGTGATCGCATTTGGAATCGCCTGACCTGGATTGTAACAATGTTGTGATCTCTCTGTCTCTCTCCCCCCGCTCCCCACATCATCTCCCTCTCTCGCTCGCCCGCTCTTTCAACACACGCTTGGATTTATACGCACGGGCTTTATGGATGCATTGTGCACTTCGTTTTGAATACGCCCATTCTCTCATACCGACCATCCCGAGTCTATTATCCGCGGCTCTTGTAAGACACGTACAAGGGAACCGATTTGTCACCCCTGATCGGTGTTTGGATACCGATGTAAGGATTTCGACATGCCCTGCGCTGGCGACCCCAAAGGCGGACGATTATGACTGCAACGGCGAATTGGGTGGCTAACGGGGCAAGCCTTGAGGACTGCCACTCCAACATCTTCTCTCTGGTACGGTATCAATAAATCATGCTCGGCCATCTATGATAGACAGGTCATAAGACCGTGGGAGGCACACTTATATGTCTGCCTGCTGTACAAAGGTGAAGCAATTGGAGATGTTATTGGGCAATCATTAACACACATGCAAACTATCACATTTTACTACTAAACCTGTTAGATTAATCATTTCTGTGTAACCTATAAAGAAAAACCTCATTTAAAAAAAAAAAATCAATCAAATTACATTGGATTTTTTTTTTTTGCATGCATTTGAAGATCCAATGTGTTCCAAGCATATATTGACACAAAAAGCAGCAGATTTTTTATTGTTATTATCATCCTTTTACTTAATCATATTGCTGGAAATCTTCCTGGAACTCTGTTGCAATGCCAAGAAACTAACTTTCAAGGAGGAAGCCTCTGTTTATTATCTCAGGATTCTTTCATTTGCTTTGAAAGAAAAAGGGGGGGGGAAATAGGTTAACGTGTGAAATTACTTCAGCAGAACATGAAGAGCGTTGAAGAGTAGCAGAAAAAAAAGGAGTTCAAAATTTTTGACAATAACACGCGTAAAACGGAAGCTGCAAAAAAAACAAAAAACTGTTGGACTCCATACGTGCAGTGTCATGGGTTTTTTTTTTTTTTTTTTTTTGCAGAACTCACTGGTTTTGAGGTTGCAGGAGACAAAGCGTCGTGTTTTTCACAGTTTTCCTCCTGCAATCAGTGAGTTAACTGTCTTACCACAGCAAGCAGTCAAGTGTAAAGGCATGCAGGAGACTGATCTCAGGCTGCCGAGAACCACAACAACATAGGGGTCCTGGGGGCTTTTCAGGTGATGGTGCAGGTTGCGAACCGGCAGCAGACTGTGTTACACTGCACTAAGTGTGACACCAAAGCTATTTAAATACGTCTCAGAGAATGTTTATAAATAGAAACGGAGACTTTTTATTTAATTTCTTTGAATTTTGAGGCTTGCGCAGAACTTTTTGTTAAAAAAACCGTACATATTTGACACCGGGGAGAGAGGAATTTTAAAGTGGTATCATTAACTATTCAGACGCTTCTTGCATGAATTCCTCTGCACTGATTCTGATGCACATGCAGCATTGTGCATCTTAAATTTTCCTTGCTTGACACAGCCGAAAACTGTGATTGTGTCCTTGTCACCGTCTCATCCGAGGCTATTCCCTTTGTGGGGGGGAAAAAAAAAAAAGAAAAAAAGCTCTCATTCACTCACTGGAGCTTTATTGGCCATCATGAACATCCTTTTCAAACTGAGGGTGAAAGAGACCATCCATCAGCCGGCTTGTTGAGAATATTTATGACTGGCAAGTGCCTCAGCGGTTACTAACTGGCGGGGTTCCTGCAGGGGAGTCCAAGACAGAACAAAATTGTAAAGCACACCGTGTGTACTGGTTTGAGATGGACGCAGCAGCGAAACATGTATCTTGATGTTGACACTTTAAGGGTCGGTGATGTGGGGTGGCATCAGTGTTTATAAATAAGGAAGTCTTTTTTTTTTTCTGCAAATACGTTGCAGAAAGAAAAAAAAGTTGTTTCCATTTGTGGCAAATCGGTATAAATAAAATATTTTTTATTGCAATTGTGTTTATCAGAAAATATGAACGCACTTCTTGACCTGAACCGATACTGACGGTTTGGACGAGGAGTGTCTTTGGCTTGGAAAGCGAAATCAGCCAGTGTTTCACACTCTGATCTCTAAGTCAACTTTAGTTTTACCCAGATGGATTATTAAACATGGAGCTGCCGTGGCTTTGTTCAGAGTTTAATAACATTCCAGACTTGCTCATTTTTGCAAGAAGCACTAATTTTGCTACTAATGTGATTATTTATACAGAGGGTAAAACAGTATTTTTTGAACTGACTTAATTGTCTTGGTGTGATGCTCTCACTTTATTTTGAAAATAGGAGCAAAAACCTTAGTCACACTTTCACATTAAACTATTGTCATTATATTTCTGTGGAAGCTGTCAGCAGCATGTATTATTTGTATTAGCATAAAATTCCTTGAAATAATCTTTAGCCTGCATAATAAAATACAGTATCCTAATTCTCAGTAAGCGTATTGCTTCAATGCACTGACCCATAACTGAACTAAAAACATGCTTATCAAATTCAGAGTTTATTCCCATTTAAGTTGAGAATAAACTCTAAATATTTCAGACTGATCTATAAGTGAAGTTCTGTTTTTACTAGATAAATCTTTAAACATGGCACTTTTTTTTGCTGTTCTAACACAGCTAAGCTATTTCTATCATAATCCCCTTGAAGCTTCTTGTTGGCAGCTTTCAAACTGTAAATATTAATTTTTTATAACATTTCTATAAAGCATAAAGTGGTTTGACGATATTTAGCACTAGATCATTCATGCTGCACCTGATGGTAGTTTTCGACAGAATTATAACTTGTCTCAGTGAACATGTTTGATTTTCAAATACAGGAATCACATGCAAGCGTCGTCAGTTAAAGTTGCATAAATGACAAGTAAGAGCAAGATTACTAAACATTTTCGACTCTCATATCTGGGTTAAGATCTTTTTCACCTGAGGAATATTTAAAGTTTGTACTTTTCCGTCTAGACCTCGTCTTTAGCTTGTTCATGCTCACGAAACACAAATTAATATTGTGTAAATGTTAACTGTAAAATCTATTTGAAGTTTGCTACTGGCGTCATGCAGCTTTTAAATAAATTTTTTATAGCTGATATAAAATCATCTAATGCTTTCAAATGATAAGCGGGATATTTTGTTTCTTTTTATTTTATTTTATACTTTTTACCATTTGAAACCAAATACTGCACAGAAACATGTTGCTTGTTTTCGATGGCCTACTTGATCACAAAATATGCTAATAAAATTTCATATTATTTATCTGCAAAAAAAAAAAAAAAAAAAAAAAAAAAAAAAAAAAAGGATAAGCCACAGATGTGATTCCTCACTTTTTCCGACTTGGATGCAAACGTAAAGTTTTTACCGTAGGGATCTTCAGCTTCCTCTCTTCCACTGTGAAGCGGATCTATAAATCCACATAGACACACACAAAGTCCATGGCTGAATTTAATGCAGTTTCACATTTTACAACAAGAGGAAGTAAAATAGGCAATAATATGCTACTGAAATTACAAGAAAAAGCCATAACATTTTTTTTCATATGCACATTGCTTGAGAAAGCACAATATGGAAGTTTGCACAAAATAAAACACAACACATATTTTCATTATAATTTCTTGGAGTTTTATTATTACCAGCATGCAGCCTTTAGCTGTTTGATTTAAGCCATCAGATCAACATTAAATGCTTTGAAAGCTTAAAAAAAACCCAAAAAAAAACATTCAAATGATATTAATCCTCAGTAAGCATGTTCCATCCATTAGATGGCCCACTGGCTCAGAAAATATGCTTATGCGATGTTAGCTTTGTCTGTCAGGGTTCCACAAATGATAAGGTGGGAAACTTCCTAACCTTTCCCTGTAGGTCATGATGGCTGCACTCTTAGACAAAGGTCTTGTAGCAAACTCTTGACAGGCTGTTAAACGGCATTCCAGCATGCATTAACCTTGTCCCTCACACTGATTTGCAACCCATAACAGTAAAGAAAAAAAAAATAAATAAATAAAAATAAAAACAACAGCTAACTAGAAAGCATAAGTGCCCATATTGAGGGGACTTTATGGGGGCAACAATAAATTACTGTCAAGGCCTGTGTAAGATACTCTGGATCGTCTGCAATCACACAACCCACAGAACAACTGTCTTGTGTGCTGGTGATCAACCATCTGTGACAGAAAGCAAACTAGGCCCTTGTAAGTAGGAGAAAAGAGCCGGGGCTGGTGAGTTGAAGTGGCAGTGAAGGAGGGAAAAGGGTGGAGGAAGGTTTTTCAACGAGAGGCTTGAAGGACTGCAGCAGAATCTGTTTTCATTTTAGGAAAGTATTATGAGTGATGTGCATTTCCTGACTGCAAGCCTCAGCCTATTTGAGCAAGAAACTGAGAGTGAAAGAACGAGACGGAGCACGAGAGAAAATTAAAGAGGGAGACAGCAATGAGGGAGAGAAAAAGAGAGAGAGAGGCAGAGAAAACAAACATCATTCTGTGGACTGGGCAGGTTTCCTTTTAACACCGAGTTCCAGGCTGATTATGAAAGGCAAGGAGGAGACAGTTAAAGGCCACACAACACAGGAAGCCTCACTGTGTGTGCGTGCGTGCGTGCGCGTATGTATGTGTGTGTGTGTGTGTGTGTGTGTGTGTGTGTGTTTATACTGAGCGCACTGTAAACCACGCAGACTCAGGAGACAAACTTCAAACAGCCATCATATTATACACACACAGACGCATTCACAAACACAAGTAGCGGGGAGAGGGAAAAATCCCGGTGCCCACACAAACATATGTACCACAAATGCAGCACGTGCTGCATTTTGCACACGCGCACTCGTGCACCACTCCTTTTTATCGCCCATATTTGGGCTTGTGAATAAACCCTGCGTCCCGACGACGCAGGTTTGTGCAAACAGAGGTAGGCCTTAATTAAGGGACTTCTCCTCTCCTCTCAACAGAGGTGCGCGGAGTGCAACGCTGGTAATTAAGTGTCCTCATGTAGAGGTCTAATGTGATCAACTAGGAGGTGCTCATTAGCCCAACTGTATCCCAACAGCGATCTTTGCTTGTATAACGATGATGCTACTCTCTGGCGAGGAAATAAAGTGCTCAAAGATGAGGCTCGAGGAGATAGCTGCAGCGTGGTGATTTATGGCAGGTGAGTGGCCATGGCTTGTAAGGAGAAGCAGGTAATCAGGAGTGGTGCCTTTTTAATACATCCTGTTTGCATTTGCTCTCGTTATTAATGGTGGAGGGTGCAGGGATGCTTAGGGATGAGAAAGAGGCAGTGCTCGGACAAAGTGTTTGCTGAGCTGATGAATTATTGGGAGTTAATGCAAACCTGGGAAACATTAGAAATGTAGTTATGAGCTTGTGCTCCTGCAATATTGGA